CAAATCCCACTTCAGGACTATTCTTATAAATCTGTATTCTGAGAGAGTCGCACCACATAGTACGGAACTAAAGACAAAGCACTTGATATATCAACCACCCTGGCAATGTCACTTGACTACAATCCTCTTTGGAGCAAGAAGGCTGTTATGCTGGATCTACTCTCTAGTTTGAAGAATCAGGCCCTTGGACAGCTGGGGACTTAGGCAATGCCTTAACTGGTGTGGCTCAGTTACTAAATAAAATACTGAACTCAGCACAAAAGCTGGAGTGTGAAGTCAATAACAATAGAGGAGGCTCGGAAGGAAAAAAGCAAGAGGTGTCGGCTTTCTAACACCATGAAAATCTGAAAGGTTACTTCACTGTGCAGTGAAATAGCTTCATGGACAGAATGCAGCCTACATACCAGGAGGGTATTAATTTTTATGAGCAGAAACAAAATAAGGAATTCTATAAATTAAGCCTGCCTATAGAAAATGAAGAAAGGCTGCCGAGAGCTTCCTCGCCTAGGCAGTGTCAGTGTCGAAAGGTTGTATAAGGCCCAGTTGTGCCCAAGCAGCTGATACCCCAGGGAGCCTGAAAGAAATTGGAACCGGCCCCCACTGCGATATTACAGGGGCTCTTTGCAAAGTGAGGGACTGGTCCTCCTTCATGCGAGTGGTGGCATTTGGATTCTGCTTGGCTGCGTTTCAAGTGCACATATTGAAAATTGCATCTCTCAGCAGTGGGATGAAGTTGCCATCTTGAATGGAAGAAAGTCTATTTATAATGGCTTTGTAGATATTTTTGAAGGCCAATAAAAGGAAAAAGTGTGACAACTGGCGTATATCTAACGTGACAAACAATACTTCATTGGGTTCGATTGGGAATAAGCACATTTCAGCATAGCACAGGTGTCCTCTCCCACGTGCACAACGTGGTAACATTTACCCTTTCCCACAGCCGAAGAAGCGAGGCTCCCATGTTATGCCAAGATCCCCATCTGTTGCAATTACTGGGATTTTCAGAATAAGAAAACAGAATTCAGGGTATAACTGAGGCGAAAGATATCCTGGTTCACTCTTTCTCCTTTAGGCGTCCTGTTGATATTTTGACTGAGAGTTTTCCACTGCAGAAGATTGCCCTCTCCTCCATAAGAAGTGTCTGGTATTTTCAGAAACAAACACAGGGCCATAAGTCATCACAATTTGAGGTCATCTCTGATCTCTCAGAACAGCAGTGGAACAAGATGCCCTGCTTTCCTCTCCCCTCTGGACTACTTTGGATACAATAAATAAATAATCACAGTAAAGTGTGGACTAGTCCTGCTTCCGGTGAAGTCAACATAGCCAAACTGCTACTGATGGTGAGGGAAGAAGATCAGACCTTCTTTGTTATAAGTATTAACATTAGCTAATCACTTATGAACTATAAAACTCAAACAACTTCTACAAAATATATTACTAGTGAGCTCTGTTCAGGTTTTTCCTTTGGTGTTGTTGGCATAGTATACATTAGAGAATTCTCATATGATGCCTTCTGAAATGTGGAATTTACAGGAATATTGCATTGCCCTAAGTGCCAAGACACATTGCATTGCTTGAATGTTTGATCCATATTCACCAGAAAATGGCAGATGAACAAACAGCTAAAGCACCTATTCAGGGCATCTGCAGTTCTTCCGAGATGACCTAACCTTCAAACCAGCATTATAGCCTCGTAAATCTGAAATCTGTTCTGTGCAATGGCCATGATATAATGAAACTAGTTTCTGAGAATACCTCAGAAAACGATGAGATTGTCTTGTCACAATGCTTGGAGAACAGTATGCTTCCTCCTCAGCAAGGAGAGCAAAGAATGGAGGTTCCTCAGGTATACGAATTTGAGGGTATCACCACCATTTTCAACAGGCCAAGACATCATCTCTAATATTTCTTCACTGCTCTTTCCCAACTTGCAACTGGCTGTTCTTAAACAATATGTGACCTGTCAATGAAATATGGTCACCTTTATATCAGCTACATGTAGTCAAGCGCTGTCCCGCCTATAACAACAGGACAGGTATCCCCTTGTGCACACTGAGAATCCCAAACCAGCAGAGAGATCTCTGCAGTAATCACTTCCTGGCAGTGTGAGCTATGCAGAGGCTGAGGCGGCTGCCTGGACTCCTCCCTGATGCCTCGCACAGATTTCAACCTGCAGCCCTCTCCGCCCCTAGAGATGCTGATGTGATGCTACCTTCATCTGCTGTCACTTTCAGGATGAGTTGCTGTAAAGACATGTTTCAGTATCTGGAAGGCAGATAGATCATTTTGATGTCCAGAGAAGGCCACTTTCAAAAGTTTCCTGTCTTTTCGGCCCACAGACAACTAAGATGCATATTAAGATGCAGACAGACAGTTTGCTTATTTATTTATAGGTACTTTGGTAACACTTATCTTGGTAATATCTAAGCAGCAACAGCCTGATAGGCTGACGGGCTGCAGTGCAACCTTATCCAGAGGCTGGCTGATCCCAAGGAAAGCCTCTGTGCCAGACACTGCCATGTCAAGGAGCTGAGGACAACCAGAGCCTATCCCAGGACGAGGAAAGAAGAGGAGCGCTTTCCTGCAGGCCTGTACGCACATTAGTGCACCAATGCCCTCTTCGCTCTTTGCGCTGTTCATGCCGTGGAAGCTTCCAAATAGGGGATGGTGGGGCCCCATAGCATTCGCTAAAAGCAAGCAGCTGAGGGAATAAAGGAGTTTCTGTCCTCAGGATTTACTGTCTCTGGCATGGTTTTGTCCTTTTGGCTCTTATCAGCCCCCACTAAAACATTCAGACCCTCTCACTGCTGTGCCAGTTTGCTGATACTGCAAGGACAAACTTGTCTTACACACCTCTGACTTGTAATCTCTACTCCCCATAGCTTTTTCTGGAGAAGTGAATGCCCTCTTGACCCTGAATTCCTTGAGTCGCCTTTTAAATATCAGACCAACGTTTTCCACCTCCTGGAAGCACGAAGGACTAGCTGCCCTGGGAGAAGGTGGGATGGGGGCAGTGGTCAGTACAGCTCCCAAGAAAGATGAGGCAACCGTGAGGAGACTTCATTAAAAAAGGAAAAATTGGAAGACACTGTCCCACTCACAGACATTGCTGGAGACAAATCAATTGCTCTGACTTTGTGTCCGCAGGTTCTGGCTCTGGATAAAACGGTCACAAGCTGGAGCGCACAAAGCACTTTTAACACTTAGATCCTCATATCCCCAGGCATCTTGTGGCTACCCGGCTGTATGTGGCATTAGGGTCAATGAATTGTCCGTAGCTAAGGAAAGCAATGGTCTCCACCACGGCAGCTCTGCCTGGTCGGATATCTGATGCACAGGCCTCTTCAGTGCTTTTGATGAAATGATGGCGACACTCCATTTTCCCCAGTAAATGCAGAAATAGCACTTTAGAAGTTCAGCCTTTGTGAACCACCTTTCAAATTAGATTCTCTTATTTGTCTCTGAAATAAAATTTGGTCCTCAACCAGCATGGACATAAGCTAAGGTTGGGAGGGAAAAGCTGTGAGATACTCTGGAGGAGTAGTTACCAATGCTCTTTTTTTTTTTTTTGTGATTTTTCTTTCTGAAGGAGAAGGAAAAGTCAATGCACTAGAGAAAATCCTACCTTATGCAGGATATGTTCTTCTCTCGTCTCTATTGCTGATTTTGTTACAGGTATGCTAGAGGCATGATAAACTAGAAGGAATATTTTTAGAAAGTCTTGATATTCTCTTATATTAAATCAAAAGCTACAGACACAAATGATCTTTTTTGTTTAACATATCTCCAAAGCAAACACGAAAGCACGTGGCAAAGCTGCAAAGAGAAAACATGCTAAAACAACAGTATTTAAAGTTGCTCATAGTACGGACAACACTTTCATACAGATATTGTCATGCAGACTGCTATTCATAATGACATGGATCACCTGCTCCTCTTTCTGTCACATAACATCCCAGTGATGATTCCAGCAATTGCTTACATGGAAAAAGGAGTAGGAAAGTACTTATGTATTTTTAGCTATCTTTCTGCAATGTAGTTCAGCAGCTGGAGAAAGACAGGAGAAACCAACACCATGTAGTCAATCACTCACTGTGGAGATCAGAAAGTGCCACGTAAACCTCAGCTTCCAAACTCCTGAGGTAAAACATAGGATTAAGCACCAGGGACAGGTTCTGCTCTTACTTCTTCCATGGAATTTCATTAAAGAGTCCGGATTTGTGCCCGTACTGTTGATCTATCAGTCTCATTCACCCAGTTCTACTGTTTATTCTGTTTACAGCTTTATGCATCTTTTAACTGAATCATACAGTTAGATGGTTTTCTCAAAAAAAAAAAAAAAAAGAAGAAGAAGGAAAAAAAAGCAGTTGTGTTTTCTTCCCAGGGCTTTTACTGTTTCTCAGACTTGTGAAATGTATCACAGCCTGACGGCTGACCTATTACAACTGCTTGAAGACCTCAGCCAAAAATTCTGACACTGATACTGCAACATATAATCTGTTGAATCTAAAAATAAAGAATGATGCCTAGAAAACGGTGCAACGTTAATTTATTTACAAATATTTGTCAGTTATTTTTTAGAAAAAAGTTTGTTCTGAAGACTGCAGAATGAGAAAAGTGTAATTCAGAAATTTTAGACACACTGCTGTTTTGCTGTACCCTAGGTGTATTTTTAGTGTTGGCTTTTCCTTTTCTGGAAGCTTCTAATGTAACAATACCTTGTACCACAGGGCTGCTGTTGGGGATCAGCTGTTCATTAAAAGATAATCCGTGAAACATTAGGTTTACAAATGTCACAGACACATTAAATTTGTGAACAAGGAGGGCAATAGTGGTGAAAGGATTGTCAAATATACAGAGAATATCCCCGTAAAAAGTGTACTATCATTAGTTTTGCAGGAAAGCATTAGTTCTGAAAATTAATTTCATATGTGTGATTACTGTCCATAGCTTTTTTAGGAAGTGGTATTACAGCAAGTTAGACTGAAATCAATCAAAAGAGGTTTTATTTATTTTTTTCCATTTGAAATGATCTCACTGGTTTAAGTAGCAATCTTTGTATTCAGAAATCCCTACATCTGTGAAAAACTGAACACTGTGACTGTCTAATTACTTTTCAATTACTCAGCTAGCTTCGCTCACACATATTCTACATATAGCCATTTAGACCAACTCTCAGCCTATCCTTTCGTTAGAATAGTCAGTCAGTTATCTACAGGGTTTGATATAGTCTTTATAGAAAGAGAAAATGGCAGAAACCGCTTTACTTTTCCTCTGTGGATAGTCGGTAAAGAGTCTCGCCCAAGTACTCTAGCCTCTCCCTTTGTTCAAGGTCCTGGTACAAGCCTTTGGGAACCTTGCTCAGGCCATAAACCAATCCGTACAAGCAACCAGCAATAGATCCAGTAGCTGCACTTTCACCTGCAAATTTAAACACAATTGCAAAGTTCTCTTAGACTCACTCGTAACTACACCGTCAAAACCTGCCCTACACAGAGGAGGAAATATTAAGCTACTAGTGAAAGGAGATAAGGACATAATGGCCATATCGAATCAGTCCTAAAGTTTCATATAACCCGCTGTCTTGTTTCTGGCAGTGCCAAGCGGAGGATGCATGGAGAAGAGACTAACCCCAAGGCAAGCGTACAGCAATACTTCTGTGGTGTGCAGTCCTGAACCAGAGCGGCTCTCTCGGTATTTCATAACCCTCAGAAAATCTTTTTCCATGAGTCTGTCCAATCACTTCTTGCATGCACATGAACTGTTAGCATCTACAACATCTTGCAGTGAGAAGGATGCGCCTTTCACGCTGGATGAAAGGTGCATCTCCATTCGCCTGTTTCAAACCTTTTGCCTGCTGTTTATATTTGATCTCCCCTAGTTCTTGTAGCGGAAGGGACAATTTAGGATTGTTCATTCACTGTCGGCTTTGCCTGTGACACTTGATCCCATAGATTTCTATTATATCTACTCTCTGTTGTCCCTTTTCTATGCAGAGTGTGTGTGTGTGTGTGTGTGTGTGCGTGCGCGCGCGTGTGCGTTGGGGTCACTGTGGTTTTGGCCTGGTTCCCCAGAGAACAAGGCACAGATGATCACAATCTGATGCGACTGTCACACATGTCTGTCTGTCTTGCAGCTTGTCTCACCATATTGATTTTTGAACCTGTTGACTAGCTTCAAAATGATGTGATTAAGGTCTAACACTGATGGAGAATATGCAGTTGGGGAGGTGGGAGAGACATGATGACTATGTGCTCTGGTTTACTCTTCATGAGATGTATTACAAATAATCATTGCAGAAACTCAACCTTAGGATGTAAATCCACAGAAAACCAGACTTTCCTGGTTCCCCTGTATGGAACATTTTTGATCTTTGTGTTTTACCCGTTTGTAGCGCGCCAAGACATGGTAGCACTAGGAAATTCCCTAATCCTTTTTCTGGGATCTCTCTTGTCCTCGCTTTCCAGCAGTCACTCTGTACACAGCCCTTAACACCATATCTAAGGAGGAAGAGAACTTCCTCAGCTGAGACTGAGGTAGAGTCAGGAGAGACCAAGGTCCTACCTACAACGTCCCTTGCTTCTACATAACTCCCCCAGTAGAGTCATGTCGATGGTAGAAAGTGATCTTGAATTTCGTGTTTAATGAATATAACGGCACATTCATTGTAAAATTTCCCAAAATCAGAACTCTATCAGGTGCGTAGTGGAAAATCATTTTGCCAAATGATAAAGGGACAAAACTAATTTTAGGAAACGAGCTTTCTTTGCTGCTTGGAGGGAACACACAGCATAAGTTAGATTAGAAAGATTACCATGAAGGTAGGAATTACCACAGACAGCTGTATTCTTTATCAACATCCCCCAGAAATAATCAGTCAGATTGAGTGAATGTTTAATTAAATTAAAATAATGTATTTAATGCCATTTTAAAGAAGATATTAACAAAGTCCTAAAGGAAAGGACATGTCTGATCGATGCAGAGGTACAGCGGCCAGAGGTAGGGGCATGGCTGACAGACTGGAAAAGGCCAGTGCTGCAGTCAGACCTATTGCTTTTTTGGTTTTGGGAAAAGCCACTACAGTACAACAGCTTCTGCAAGCAGCTGGCCGTTACTAGGAAGAAAGATAAGGCAGAGTAGCCACAGGAGTCTCTGCTACAGGCAAGTACCCTGGAGTGGAGAGTGCATATTCCTTTCTAACATGTCACAGCATGGCACCGCATGCGATTTAAAATATACTAACTATAGTAACAGTACTCTTGTGGTGTCTGATGGTATGTGTCTGTAGGAGTGTGCAGTGAGATGTCATGAGCTCCCATCAGGTCAGTAGGGGTTAGATGAGTTAGCAACGCAGTCTCTGTCAAGGGCCTCACTGAGCAAAGGATGGAGCAGACAATTCAAGTGGTGGCATTTGTTCTCCTGCAGTTACACTGGCCTGAAAGCCCAGCAGGACGCTAGTGCCAGTGGAAGTGTTATCATTTGCAAAACTGCAAAAGTAATCAACTGTGTGCCTCTAGGACTTATATTTTATTTGCTTGAGTCCCTCTTACATAGTTTTGCCTAGGCACAGTATTATTTTTCTCCTTCAGACTCTTACTTGGTTTTGCTACATACAGTTAAAGGCTTGCTTTGCCAGAGGTGCTAGAAGACACCAACCCTTTACCAAATTACGTTGGATTTACTTCACAGGCACCCCCGGCAAAACGGTGAGACTTAGACGAATTAACATTTGAAAACCACTATTAATGAATTGCATTGCAGCTATTCCTGAAGGAATGATATTTATGACATAAAACCAGCAAAGCAGGAATAATAGTTGGATTGGCAGGTTGGTTGACACTGAGAATTTACAGTCAAGAGGTCTCTTTTTCAGCAAGCTGCATCTCCTCCCGCAAAGGTCACTTTACGTGCGAGAGGGGGCAGTAGATCATTTTAATCAGGAGGGGATCGAAATACATGGCAGCAGCCCTCACCTCCGTGGAACATGGAGCGGTTGCAGAGCTCAGTCCAGTCGCCGCCGCATCCCATCAGGGCATCGTAGGCGATCATGGGGGCGTCGTGACCCCTTCTGCCCCCCCGGCCTTCGGAGCTCCACCTCCTGTACGTCTATGGGAAACATGGCAGAGTCAGTGGGGCTCGCTTGAAAGCATAGTAACTTCTCCTGCACTGCTCTTTCGGTGGGAATAGCTCATGAACGGGCAGTAGGCAACCACGTTGCTCACGCAGTTGCCTGCAGCAGGGGGTGAGTGGACACAACGGCACCTATCCCGGGGCTGGGGATGTCTGGTAGGCCTGCCCTCCAGCTTACCCCACTGTACCTTGCGTGCTTGCCCAAACCCTTTGGTCTGTGCATCACAAGGAAACCTCTGGTATTCCTGAGGTTTCAGTTTTTCTACTCCGAGACCTTCTTCCAGTGAGAAAACTGATTGGTCCAGCAGCTGAAGGAAGTGTCCTCCTGCTGACGGCTGAGATTTTGTAAGGCACAGTAAATGGGTATCTATCTGAGCTTTCTATTCACCAACACAAGTACAAAATGACTTTCTGCATATATATTTTTTGAAGACTTGGTACTGCTATAGCCCCTGCTCCTCTGCTGGCTGGTCCCTTCTGGAAGCAGCACATCCTTGTGAGGGACAGAAGCCACCCTGCCCACAGCAGGGACCCCAAAAATAAGGACATGAAGAATCACGCAGCTATGTGGCAGGCAAGAATAATTTGATTTAAGCAAGGCAAGATTACCAAGAAGTAGATGAAGTTAGACCCTAGCTTCACATCTTAAAAGTTCCAATTCTTTCAAAAATAAAGGACGGAAAAGACTTAAGTTGTCAGTCCTCTTCCTGCCTCTTGAAAAAGTTCTCCACCTCATTTGTCACATGTGTGCAAATGTTTTGGTTCGCCCATTTCACATGGGGTTTGAAAAAGTTCTTCCTCAGTAATTTCTTTAGGGTCTCAATTTCAGATTATGTTAATTGAGGTCCTCTTTGCCAGGCCCTTTCTTTCCTCTCCAACAAGCATATATTCAACCAGAGTGAAATTAATTTGCAAATACAAGAAACAGATTTCTTCCTCGTGAGAAGAAAGAAAGAAAAACAAAAAATGCACAGCAAGGTTTGTTAGGGATAATCAGATTTTCTTGAGAGCTGGCACCTCCAGAACTCACTTTTACCTGCCCCTTATCCCAAGACATACTCAGCACTTCTGCTAAATTTGCAGTAAAAAGTATTTCCTTTAAAGAAAATTGGCCTATAACCTAGCTTTATTTCCTGAAGTATAAATTACAATATGGTGATTTGAATTATATCTGCTGGGCTCGCTCTTGGCTTCTACAACATATATGAAGGCTTGCATTTAAATCTATTCACTTTCCCCTTGGCCATTGTATACTTTGATGTGGTATATTTGCATATACATCAAGCAAGGAAGAGCTGGATTACGGCTTCACTCTGCTGCTTTTAGATTTGCAGACTAGCGAGAGCGTTTCATCTATTCATACTGTCCTCTGACACAAGCAAGCTTTAAAGCCTTATTCCTGCATTTTTTTATTCTGGCAGAGCAGTACCGACACTTGTGTAACACTACCGAAGGCAAGAGGACTAACCGTGTAAGTGCTATTCTGGGTGAGCCTGCAGACATCTCAAGTTTCGCTCCATTTAGCCCTTGAGATAGCTGATGTTCTGCACAAATGTGACGTCACCTCACTTTGACTGCTGAAAATTCTTTACATTAGGAGCAATGATCCTTGGGATTGAGCCTGGAGGGACTTATCCGCACCAAGGCTGCGTTTTGCAAACTTTTCAAGAGCGCAGCCTCCTCCTGCCTTTCCTGCCATAGTGTGGCTCCATGACTTGGCAGCAAGTCAGCTTCTCCAGGCAGTGGGATGAGGACTGGGAACACGTAGTGGATGCAGGTGAAACATGAACTCCTTCGTGCTGCTGGATCTGAGACCCTGCCATGCTCTAACGGTAACTCACAGGTCCCCCTTTCACTGTGAACCCCTACAGTCAGCAATTGTAGCTGCCTCTCACTTCCTCACCCTGAAGGACCTGACCTACTGCTGGCTGACACTGCTTTTGCTATCATTTTGTAACCCTTTTTGAGCTCTTTCATGATCCTGGTTTAAGCAGTTCCGTGTGAAGGGAATGAACTCCATCAGCATCTGAGTTTGCTGAATAACTTTGGCTCAGTTCCTCTCCCATTTCACCACATATTGTGTCCAAAATGGGAAAATGAGCAATGAGAGTGATTTGTTTGCAGAATCAAGGCTGAACACGAGAGATGCGCAATTTTTGCCTATCTGCAGATTTTCTGACGTGTAACAAACGTGTATTACTGAAAAACAGTTTATCCTTCGTCAGCTGATTGTCCATCTTTTGTTTGTACCTTCAAGCAGTGTTAATTTGTCTTTCACACCCACATTTCTAGTCACCTCCAAATTTAAGTTGTACACCTGCCTATGCATGTGATCTTTGCTGCTTAGCCTTTAGAGGTACTTTTTTTTTTTTTTTCCAAAGGGAAATTGTCCTTGCAAAATCCTCAAATAAATCCAAGCCACCTTTGAGGTGGCCCTTGCCTAGCCAGAACATGAATTTGGGGCCTGGTAGCAAAAGTGGTGCTAGATATTTGCGTTTCATTAAAGCACTGTAGAAAGGCAACCAACTTGCCTTTGGAAGTTTGTAGTTTGGAAGGAGTGGAAAGGAATGCAATGGGAAGAAGGACAGTATTGGATTACTTGGGAGAGATCATGAAGGAAGGCATGATGGTTACTCTCTCTTTGCTTATTCTTTACACGGCTATCAACTAAACTCACTCAGTTTATAAGCAAAATGAGAGACTTCTGTTAGGCTGGAATCTCTAGATGGCTGTGGTGCTTGAGAGTCAAGCAATATTTTCCTTTCTTGTGTGTCAAAATGAATAGCTCTATAGGCCAAACTAGCTGGGTTGGGGCAAAGAAGATACATTTTGTTTCTGCTTTAGGAATGTATTCAATTCTCTCTTGATAATGATCAAGGGGAAATGCCGTTCAGTTTAATCTCTCATAAACCTATGTTAAGGCTCTGTAGAACTGGAAGGAATAAAAAAACTGGTAACAAATTCACGGCACTAAACTAAGAAAATAAAACTGAAGGGAGATCTAGTCTTTCTATATAGAGCGAAAAGAACAGAACTGTGCTCTAATAGTCTGAAAAATTGATCGATTTATGGGAAAAGGTGACAAGAACCACATACTTATCGCTCAGCTGCTACGTGGAGAGCTTGAGAAGTGCCAGCAAATAGCAGAAAGTTGCAAATACCCAGGAAGAAGAGGCATTGTTTCTCTTGAGTTGAGAAGTTATGACTGGAAGTCACGAAGCAAAAGAAAGATCATATATGCTATAAAATAGTATTATATGAGACATGATGCAACACCATCTTTAAAACTATCTTGGCCAAAATCAAAGGGATCAATCATGCATGAGCAGACAGCTGCTTAAGGTGGCCTTTTCTCTTCTAAAGATTGTGATCAAGTTTGGCTCCTAATGCCCATGGGCATCTCTGCGGCAGTGAGGCCGTGGCTTCCTTAGGCTTTCAGGAGAGCCTCCACCTAAATGACCTTGTTTATCTTTTCCAGTCTCAAAAAGCTATGACTGACTGGAGGTCACTTACCAGCTTTGTACCTTCTCTGGGTATTTGCACAGCTGACTATTAAGACTTCCTCTGTATATTCTTTTCTCCCATTTTAGGATCCTTTAGCACCTCAGGGTTGATTGTTGCTTTTTTTTAATACTAACATATACCTGAACCAAAGATGAAAGTTTTTCTTCATTTTTTATTATTTATTTTTTTAATGAAAGACTTTCTGTCTGCTTTAGCCCTGGAAACACTTAAAAATGGTAGTGTATCCCTTTGGAAATACCCCTTTCAGTTCAAAACCTCTCTGAGCACTTTCTGAAGGTGTAGTTACCTTTTCTCTCTCCTCCGCATCATAGTTGTCCGGAAAGACAGGTTTATTCTGATTTTCCTCATTGATTTCTCTCTCCTCCAAATAAAACTGCCACTTGGCTTCAAAGTAAAACCAGTGCTCCTGATATTCTGAATGCAAAAGAAATGAAGAATGTAGTATTTCATCTTGACAACATTTTCAGTTCTACTAAAGTAACGTTTTAAGAAAATGTCAGTATTGACTGACCAGAAAAATTGTGTAACATATATTAAGAGAGTATATGTACTAAGTATGCATTTTAATATGAAGTGGGACATTTAACCGGAAAGAGAGGATGTTAAAGAAAGAGGGAAAATATTTTCAGAACAGTATGCTATTTTTATGATATGTTAAAATTACGCTAAAATACAGCAAGATGAGATTCCAAGAGTGAACTTACTGATGAACACTCAAAGCAGAAGATAAGAGTCAACAGAAAAAGAGAAAAAAATCAATTCTATGCCAATTTTTGCATTCCTTTGTTATGATTAAAGATTATCTAAAAATGCTTACGCGTCCTAAATACAAATTGCTGCCTAGCTCAGTTATTAGTTTTTATTTATATGGTTTTCTTCTGGTAGTTCCATTCATCAGTATAACCTTTCAGGAAAGGCAGGTAGGAAAGACCAAAATTTCCATTTATATATGTTGTAACGCACATCAAATGTAATATGAGGGCAGATAACGCACACATCTGATATCTGTGCCTATACAAATGAGCTTTCTTTTATAACCACAGCTCTTTTTCTCTTTGTGTCACTTTAATAAGAGCCTCTTTAAACATATTTTCCTTTCTGCATGTGAATAATCTCATTAAATTCAGTTTATTTTCAAGCCAGCGCTCAAATTCGAGTGAAAATCTTTCTGGGAAGCAAATGTGGGTCTAACAGTTCAGTATGGGACTATTTGTGTATAGTATAAAATCAAATTCAGTGTTGTTGCTTTCCCCTTAGTTTTGTCCTTTCAGGTCACTCAGTTCCGGGCCTGCTGCAAGTGACTGAGGAGCACGCACAGAACAAAATCATTTTTCTGCAGTGTGTAATCTTCAACTCCATTAAAAAAATCCGTAACACCTCGTACGATCTGATACCTTCTCAAGGTTGTCAATTCCCCAGCCCCACACAGGTATGGGAGTTCAGCTATACTGCCCTGTAGTCCCAAGGGCAGGGAAAACCCAGGCTCCCTTCTTCTGAATACACGCCCTAATTTTGCAGGATTTTAGGAAGCTATTAGCTAGAACCCTAAAAAAAAAAAAGAGGTATTTAGAAAAGTAGAGTGAAAATGTGCTCACAGGCTTCAGCTAAGGTGAGTTTCTTGAGAGAAAATGTCTCACAGAGAAAAACATTACTGTTTGAAAGAACCCACTCCATCAGCTGGTTCCAAAACTGCTGTTAAAAAGTGCAGAAGACCTGACAGGTGTGCTTATTTTTTAAAGAATGCATTTTCCACTTTCCTATTTCTTCCACGGCCATAAAGCACGAATGCTTCAGAAATGAATATTTCCTATGTAGCACCCCAACAAGAGAGGCAATATCACCACTTCAATGCACAGGCTGAGAAATAAAGGGATAAAGCCGCCATGGGAGACTCCAGTTGCGTGGATGGCCTATGCTGCAGCCAAAAACCCCACACCACCACCCCGAATGATGCTCTGCCCCATTCCTTGTGCCCAACCTGAGGCTACACCTTCACTGTAAGAACAGTTACATTCAAATCCATGGGACTATCTGGCAAGTAAATGCAATTTAATAACAGAGAGGAACGTTGAAGTAAGCCCTCTGTGAAAGGGAATGAAGTAGCTAAGAAAGAGTTTCTAAAAATGGAGGACTCTGTTTAGCAGGACTTCTCTGCAGCGCATCTCACCCGCCGAGGAGCTTAACTCTGATGCAGAAGACTTTCCCTGCTTCTAAAATAGGACTAAGCTTAACAATGCCGGTATCACCCAGAGCGTGCTTCAGGAGCCCAGTATACATGCCTCTATGTAGTGGGGGTCGGGTCTGGTGGAGTGACAGGGCCCTTCTGTAAAGTCATTCAAAGAGAAGCTCACCCATGCTAATCCTGCACCTGCTGCTCATAGGGCTCGTCTAAAAAAATCTTAGTACCAAATGAGACACACGAAAGAATGCAATGTCTTTCAGGAAGGCTTCCTGCGTCTTTCTGTTTTCAAAGCAGTGGCTTTCCTTCCTACGTAGGTCTTCGTTTTTGAGTGCTCCAAGGAAAGATTTCCATGGAATTCAATCATTCTCAACAACTGCCCCTTATATTAACCAGAAAAGCCTCTTTCCTCAAATTTTTAATATAATTACACTCATTTGCCTACAGCAGGTCTCACTGCTGCAAATATCTCTCTTCTGGGCAAGGGGGAACTAAAATACCTTTGTCCAGAAGATTACACACATTTGTAAAGTAGCAATACCGAGTAAAATATCTGTGTTCCACTCATTCTGAAAGAAAGGTACAGCAGAAGGTACCTTAAATATTTGTTCAGAACAGCAACAAGTCAAATCGGAATCTGTGGTCAAAAGATACGCAACTCTTTGCCCAAGAGGCATCTGCAGGTGAACTTCTCCGGCAAAAATGAAGAATGTCAGTGGCTTTCCTTATGGAAAATATTGGACTGTACAAATTAATGGAAGGGAGCTAGCTGAATTAGCTCATATCTCAGCAGTCAGTTTTCCTAATAACCTGCTAAATAACCTTCCCCCTCCGGTAATAAAACTATGCGTTTTGGCATTAGTATTGCTACTTCTTTTTGTATTGATGCCACTAGGCAACTAACAGACAGCGTAGAGCTGAAGGACTCACAGTTTAAACAGGTAATGCAGAAGGTGTCCTGTGAAGCCAGGAGGAGATGGGGGAAGCAGCAAAACTGGGCAGTGACATTTGTTCAATGTCTTTGTAGCTGAACATACTTTCAGGAGTTCAGACATGTTACCTGCCATGTGTCGAATGGTCTTCTTGCAATATTCTTCAGCCATTGGTACAACCTTCATCATCTCTCTTCCCCACTGCACAAGGGGTTTTCCTTGTATTGCATATGACACAAAGAGAGCTGTGCATAGGGAGCCTAGAAAGCCTAGAATTGATTGATAATAAGAATTATTAGTACGTGACCTGTGTTTGTCATGTCCATAGTAAACATCACTGCCTCATGCCTCTAGGATAGTTTACCAAATGCATATAACCTATCTCTGTTTACAGGCTGACCCTTGGCATGTTAAAATTCTTGGCTAATACATGGTGCCCACTGGTTTATGGTTTATTTTATATAGACAGGATCTTCTGTTCTCGGTGGGGTAATATGACAGAAATTGATGCAGAGGTCAAAAATAAACATCATGCATTAATGTGACACTGAAAATCTTTTAATTCAAGTCACCTGGAATAACTGACTTGCACGAAGTGATTTAATCACAAGTCAGTCACCTTGCTTAGAGAGTCATCCAGCTCAATGGCTGTCAGTTGCTTCTTCAAGATAAATACAGCCCAAAGAAAATAAAGAACAGACGTGTTTGACAACGAGGTAGAGTGGACTTGACCACTTAGAATAAAATGAAATAGTATTAGATGTAAGTGGATAAGTCCATTCTATCTCGTTGTTCAACATGTTCTTTGTTTTCTTTGGGCTGTATTTACCTTGAAGAAGCAATTGTCTAAGTAAGATATGCTGTCTGCCTGCCGAGCTGGGTCTTCCTCTTTGGATACAAATATATGGGCACTCAAAACTTCCACGATGTCAGCGTCTCAGAGGCTCTCTTCTCATATCTCCCTGTGATCTTGGGGGGGAGGAGGTATTTCTTCAAATACAGCAAAAAACAACCCAATGCGACATCCAAAAGAAGGTTAAGAAAACAACTCAGTAATTTAAGTAAGCCCCAGGTAAGAAAAGCATTGATGCGTGTGCTTCTCTTGATGCATGAGTCAAAAGTGCTCTCTCATGTGGAAAGGTAAGCATGAACTTTATGTGTTTTGCTGAAGGTAAAGGCAAATTATTTTAGGAGGTTATGACTCCAGATGAGACTATTACTAATTCTCGTTTCATCAAGATATGCAATATGGGGTCAAGCCCAAGGCATATCTAACCTAGCATCCAACAGATGCTCTCGGAAACAGTAAAAAAGCAGGGAGAGCCAGCTCAAAGCTTCTCACTTGGCTAGACATCATCCACCCGACTTGCTGTAAAGGTTGGATTCAGTGAGAAGGCGGTGGCAGAGCGGGTTTAGAGGCTAAAAGAGGTAGGCGAGGAGAAGGCATCAGGAAGAGTCAGTGCAGAGGGTGGTGGAAGCTGGGAAGCCTCCATAAGGTTTGAGCAGGCCGGGAGGTTTTTTCCTTGCCTGTCTCCAGAGGGCTTGTGCCCTGGGCTGTCCCCTTGCTGCTGCTGCCCCACAGCCCCCACTGAGCCCCTGGCTCTTGCCCCTTGCCTCGGGGAAGACACGAAGCCCCAGCAGGAGCACCTGCTGCTGCTGCTGCTAAGGATGAGGAGCTGCGTCTGTGGCCGCCGACAGAAATAACGCAGGCACACAGTGGCAACTGTGATTACATTCCTTAATTGCGCTGGCCCCTCTCCTCCCTTTGCCTGAACCTTTTTTGAACCTATGCGTAGCTCTGGACTTTGCAGCATCCTCCGTGATATTTCCTGCTTTGCTTTTAAGTTCTTTTCCTCTGAATTTCATGCTGTCCTGCTCGCCTTCCTGATTGCTTCAGAGCACTGAGCATGCTGAGCGTGTCACCACTCGTTATGGTTTTATTTGTTATTGTTTAGAACAGACAGAATGAATACATGCTTATGTAGTATAAAATTATCGGAGTGACAGACCTGTATATTTAGAACAACATTAAATCTACTTATTTGTGTTTTGTTTAGACAACGTTTCAGGTTGTGTCCTAAACCATGTGGAGTTAGATTTTTTTGGCTCTCTACCTTTCCCTGCAGTGACTGTATGTGACAAGACCTGTCAACAGAAAAATGTTATTATCCACTGAGTTATAAATTTACATGTTAAAAGTGCCATCTGAATGTATACAAATCCTAAAATCTGATCAGAGCTAGTAACTTGAATATACTCCGGACAAGACAGGCTGTGTTTAGTTATTGGAGGGATAACTCCTGTCCTTGAAGTTGCTGCTTATATAATAGACAAGCAAATATATGAGTTTATGTATGTAACATATACTTTTAGATAATATCCAAGCAACATTCAAACCAAGGCCTATGAGTCTGTGATGCAGAAGCAGTTCAACCAAGTGAACTTGTAGGAGCTGTGTGTTAGTCTCCCCTGAAGGGAGAAGCAGCCTTAGGTACTCCAGAAAAAATAGCATGTCAGTGGACATTACCTGTAGGATGGTTATGAGTCATTCGTCCACATTCAATGCTCACTTCAATGAGCGATTCTAGTCTTTCTGGCTTCCAGTATCTCATCCCTAAACACATGGCTTTTGTAGATGCTCCAAAGCCAGAACCTAGAGTGAGAAGATAATGGAAAATGCTTTTAAAAGGAAACTAATGATACGCAAATATTCTGATACCATCTGAAGCAAGTACGTTTTGTTAATTCATCCCGTGTGTGGGAACTCCTCAGGGACAGGAAGTTAGCATGCAAAGCAAGGTACAAGTTTTGATAGAATCTCGGAAAGAATTTTGTTTCCGCATCCATTCTGATTTTACAAGAACATTACAATATTCTCAAGTGCAATGAAGAGCACTGTAGGTATCAAAGAGCAGTATGCTTTCTGGCTAACATTGCTTGTTTGATTCAAGCTCTCCTGTCATCCTTTCTCATTCTTGGCCGCCACTTCAGTTCTGCTTGCTCCAGATGCCATCACAAGAAACAGGAGTTTTTGAGAAATAGGTGCACTTTTATTATGCCCTTACTTTACTAAAGTCTTCATGCCGCAAGCATATCCTTCAAACATCTTATACGAAGATCACAGCTGGTCTTACAGTTTTATAGCATGTTTCATCCTAGAGAGTCCCACAGGCAGTTCACCAAACAGTTTTCTATTATATATAAAGATAGTGGGTCTGAAGAGAAAGTGAAGGCTGCAGAGCTGAATCCTCCAAAGTCAGGAAAGGTCAGAACTGGGATTACCTGTGCCACCACAAGTTAGTGCTTTTGTGCACACCCATTACGGCATGGCCTGCACTTAGCTTCTTGGGAATTCATGCCTCATGTAGCACAGAGGTTATTTATTGAATGGCTAATTCAGTACTTCTTTTAATCCTCAGCATTGTGTGCATGATGCCCGGTGTCCAACTTTTGAACACTTCATTGTGTTAAAATTTGAGTTACATTTGCTGATGAGTTTCTCTGCAGCACTTATCACAGTAATATCAGGATCCCAAAGAAGTTTTAATGAGCTTATCTTGACAACACACCTGTGAGGTGATTATTTCCTCTCTGCAACTGGTTAGCCAGTGCACAGAAGAGCTTTAACTCATTGCAGGGACCCAATTGGATAGGGTTCGATTTTTCAGAATACTTAGTGTTTTTTGGCACTGTCTTTTCTCAGTCGCCCTTCCCAGTGACCTTGGATATAGTTGAAAGCAATTAGCATTTCTCTTCTTGGCCCCTGGAAGATATGGGAGATAGTTATGCCACCTAATTTTAGCATCTGTGGAACCAGCAAAGTCTTCCTATCTTTCCTAGACAGGCAGCAGGGAGATAGCTTACGTCTCCATTAGGCAGTACTGCGGTGCAAGAGGATCAATTCACACTCGGAGTGAAGCAGCAGATGCCGAGGCCCCAGAGCCAATGCTGCAGGCACCTAACTTCAGAGGAGCCCTCATCTGCTTTCCTGGACAGTGCCCGCTGTGGCTGGAGTGCACTAGGGGCTCCCCTGGAGAGCATCTTTCAGTTTAGTTTCACCCAAAATTACTCGAGCTCAGGTGGCCTAAGATCATGATGAGAATCAAAGTGCGTTAAGTAGGGAGTAGGAAGATTTGCTTCAAAAGCACGTGCCTGACTCAAACCAAAGCGCTAATAAGGCCCACTGGCATCTCCAGAGGGCAATACAGACCAACAGAGATGTGCATTGCTCTCTGGAGATGTCTCTTTTTCTCCCTAGAGAGCAGCTATCCTGAGCAAGCAACCTTATTAGGTAATCTAATTAGGTTAGATGAAGACATTTCTTCCTTTCCTGCCCAGAGCCCAATGTGAAAATTTTGTGCGAAGTAACTCTTCCAGTAGGTAGATTAACCACCAAGAGCAGTCTAAAAAAGACCAAACATTTGGTAGAGGTGACAGGAAAGGCTTTGCAAAATATCTTTTTATTCTCTGCAAGCTTGTTTCCTCATCCCTTGCTAGTCTTCCTGATAACTGTGAAAGAAGCCCTCTCCAGGACTTCTCTGGCCACTGCTCCACATTGAAATGGCTGGACACTCGTCCTGCGAATGGTGTGTTTTCTCTCGTACCTCACATACGTTGCAATGGTAGCACCTGGTTATTAAGGAGCCGAGGAGCAGGTAACAGCATCTGGCTATCTCACAAGTTACATAGAAACCACACAGAAGAAGCAGGACAGAAAGCAAGTTTTCCAGAGCACCATTCAGCTTAACTGGGAGAACCTATCTCCTGCTTGCAAGCCCAAATTCTTCATTAAACCTCTTCTATCTGGTGCAGCAAACAAAGCAGCATAAAAACGTCTTATTCATGACTGAATCTGTATTCCTCCAAGGGACATAATTCATGCTGGCTAATCCAAGAGGCAAGGGCATTGTGCTGCACAGAATTAAGACTTGATTGAATTGAGACATGTTATTGGGACATTGATTATGTTAAGACATTTAACTATTTTGCCTAAGGAAGCTGATTTTGACTAACGTGGTCATCCTTCTCTATATTCTTTCTAGTTTGCTTACATGATTTTGAAGGGTAGGGTAGGGGGCAGTTTATTCACGGTAGCCGAGAAGCAGGCACTCTATGAATTTACAGAGTGGTGCAAGGGTGTTTTGTGTTTTGTTCTCTATTCTTTCCTAGTCCTTTCCTAGGATTTCCTAGGAGTATTCTAATATTCCATTTGCTTGTTGACTCTTACTGAGCGCCGAAGTGATGTTCTTGTAGAGCTATTATAACACCAAGATCTCTTCCCTGAATGGTAATAATAGTTAGCTCAGTAACTATAATTGTGTATATAAAATTAGGATTTTTTTTTCCGGTGCATAGGATTTTTCATTTGTCTACATTGCATTTATTCAGCTGTTTGGTCACACAGTTACTCATCACTACGAGGATCTTCCACAGCTCTGCACCTTATTAGCTTTGACAGCAGATTTTGTTGACTCCCTGTTCACCTACTTTTCCAGATGGTTTGTGGATACATTCAACAGCACAGGTCCAACCCAGGTGCCTCCTTCTTCAAGAAGAAGGCTGACTGTAATCTCCTACTCCTTGTTTACTGTCTTTTAACCAGTTATATAGCCACATGAGAAACTTTCCTTCATCTTGTAGCAACTCAGTGGCTTGTCATTTAATGCCTTTGATGAGGAACTTTGTTGAATGTCTCCTGGAAATCTGAACACACTGTCTTCGGAGGCCCTCCTTTGTCCTCCTGATGCTTTGCTACTCCATGAACTTTCCACTAGATTTATGAGGTGTGACTTCTCCATACAAAAGCTGTGTTGACACTCTCTTACCATATCATTTTCATTCATGCATGCACTGTACTATTCTCTGTTAGTACAGAACACCTCAGCGTGTTTTCCTTTACTTTACTTCTGTAGAATAATAAAGATCAACTTAACGGCTACTGTTCTGAGCTCTTTTGTGACTGCAGACTGCTCTGCATGAAAGCTTAGAGCCTGTCCCTTTTTATGTCCTGTCCCTCTGCGGCTATGCTTCTCTTCATTTTTATTCTCCAGCTCTCTGCATCTAACTCACACTTTTTCCTCATGCTCCTTTACCAGTGTCACCAGCAAAAAGGCACTGTCTCAAGAACTACTGAGAAGCCCAGCATCTGGCTCCAGCAGCTGCAGATAAAGACCTGTTTGGTGCTGCAACCTCAGCCTGGGATACATTCAATGTAGGCAGAACCAAGCTGTTGTTTTACTGGACCTACATAGTGGCTCTGAAGGCACATTTCTGGCTTGTGGGGTACGACCTCACTCAGACTTCAGTTACCAGCTGTCAGACGTTAGAGATTGGCTTCTGAGCACTTAAGAATTTTTTCAGCAATGGAACAACATTTTTTATCATCACATCTCAGAAACGGACGACTCAAAGTAAATAACAAAACTTAAAAAAAAATGTTAACCAACAGAGGCAAACACTCAGTAGTGAAAATTTCAGCCTAAAGCTTATCAAAGCGATAATTTGGAAGTGAAGTCTTAAAATGGAAGATGTTAGGCAACCTTGTGTAGTTCTTCTGGTAGCCACGGGGATCATATAATCCTTTAACATAATTCAGGTACCTTTGCAATGAACGTGACAACAGGTGGCGAAGTGACACATAGGGCAGGTTAACATAAGAACTGAATGCACTGACGATATCCAGAAGAATTTGAGCACAAGAGCTTCATGTAAGTAATCAGGAATTACCTCACCCAGAATTTCAGTGTTCCATGAAGGATAGTACATGAATTTTTGCTTCAAGAGAGACAACACAGAATGATCATAAGAAAACAATATTTTGATTCCTGCCCACCTGAGACATTATGTGACTGCTAGACATTCAATGTCTATGGATTTCATTTGCCTCAAGAAGAAATTTACGAAAATTCAATTAAAAGTTAATTATGGCCATAGCAGTGTCAGGAATCGCAGGAGGCAGAACACCTCCACCTCATGTCACTGGTTCTTTAGCTCTCAGGAAGAGAAAAAAGAGGCTTCTTGAGATGTTCAGGATGGTATTCGCCAGACCAGATAGAGAAGACGGGGTTTAGCTGTCAGTTCTCAACACAAGAGTTCATTGCAGAGAGTTGTAGCCCAGAGTACCCCGGGAGCAAATCTTCCACCATGGAAAGTTGGAGAGGAGGAAGGCTAAAAGAAGAAATGTGGCTCCAGCACAGTAACCAGCTGGGGAGCAGCTGTGCTCCTCCACTGGAGGTGCCCCAAGCTTCCCAGACCCAGCCAGGCAGCTCCCACAGTTACTCCAACTGAATTTTACTCACTATCAACCAGAAAACATATGACCACTGCCAAAGGGGCACTTTCTCAGTTCTACCTGGCTAATAGAGGGGTGGCCAAAATAAATAGAGAGCGGATCCTTTTCCCTCTCCGCAGCTGTTGTGAAGAGCTGAGGCTGAGTGAGGGGTGCTTTTTCTGTCAAAGAGAACTGGCAGAGAACCCGAAATAGCCATGGCATCGTGCAGCCGTGTTTTTGTCATGATATTGCATCAACGTGCGATGCTGCTGAGTGGTGCCAATGCATACCACAGTGATACAGCGTCACGCCAACACAGTCATCACAATGATGTCGTTGTGAACCACCAGCGTCTTGTGGCTGTCTAGGTGTTCCTCATTTAATGATCAGTGTCTCTCCACTTCTTCAAGATTAAATGTAGCCTGTGGGCATAGGTATATGCATATGTGCATGCACATAGCTGCATGTACGTTCCTTAACTTGAAGTACAAATTCAATTCATCACACAATGAAATAACCAGAAAGAGAGAGAAAGGAATAGTCGTAGATAGGGAAACAGTGCTAGGAATATAATGGATTACCTTAGCAGAGTGTCCACCTGAAGAAAAGCAAGGCAGTATCTCTGTTTTCCCTCTAGTGAGCGCACTGACACAGAGAGAATTCCACAGACAAACTCAGCTATTTGTTTTTTTAGCTCTGCCGTCACTGAAAAGATCCAAGACTACAGGCAATTAAATGAAAAACGGCAGAAAATATTTCTTAAAATAACCATTAAATTCAAGGACAAAAATCTGGACCCAGAGGCACAGAGCCAAGAACAAAGTCTCTTTAAATAGATGTTAAACAGGGGAGGGTTCATTTACAAAAGGACATAGTGCCCTACAAAAGGAATTCCTGGCACGTCTCTTGCCATCCCTCAGGCAAACATGGAAACGTTGCAGGGCTAGCAGCTTTTGGAGTCAGGGAAAAAGGGAAACAATTTCCAAATATTCACTGATCTTGAAAGCAGGCATTATTAAAAAACAGTATCTATAAAAAGAAGAGAGTACTGTACCCTTTTCATTGAATGGTGTGTGCCAAGCCAGAAGGTAGTTATCTGGTTTTAATTCCCTGCAGCCTTCGATGGTAGCAGGGTCTGGCCGTCTCCCTGACAGTTTGTCAATAGCCTCGACGTAGCGTTTTACCAGCTCACGATACAGGTCTTCTAAACACCAGTAATCTGGCCAGAAGCAGGAATAAAAGGTTGTCAGGCCAAGGCAAAAGGAGAAGGGAATACTGAAAACAAAAAAGGCAACAGATACTGAAAACAAACAAAAAAGCCGACTATGCATTTAAGAAACGTTAATAAATTTCCGGTTCCAATATATTCAAAGTCATGTTTCTGGTGCCACTGTAAATGCTTCCATGCAAACCCTGAGAACGGGCTGCAGAGAGCATTCTTGCCTCTCTTCTCTTATCTTTTCTTTCTTTCCCTTTCACTTTTAACTCCTCTAGTCTAAGAGATAAAGGCGTTCTGTTCTTCAACAGTAACTGCTCAGGGGCTTTATTTAGACTCGGGGTGTGAAGTGCTCACAGAGGTGTCTGACTGTAAGGTGATTGTGCAGTGTTTGTGGGCACCGTGGGTATGCCTGAACTCAGCGGTGCCTGGCTCAAACTGTGCGGTTGCATTCATTTGCAGACATGATTCCAATTTAAAAATGAATTCCCCCTTTTTTTTAAATCACCGCTGAACTGTTTGAATGAGATGTGCATAATTAAACACAAAAGCAAATTAGTGAACTTAATTTTTATCCTGCATTTTATATTTTTGTGTTTAAAATTTGAAGGTCTTCCATGCAGGGGTGTCAGTACAGTAACCAGGCTCTTACAGAAATGATTATAAAGATTAGTAATAGTAGTAAATTCCTACAGAATGTAGCATTACCAGGTAATTTTCCTGGAATATGTTCATTAACAGTATCTGTTCATTGATTACTTCAGCTAAGGTCTACAGTCTTTTCTACGGTATCTTCCCCGTGTTAAACACATTTTTAATTCAGTATAACATTTTTAATTCAGTATAACTGCTTGTATAATCTTCTATTTATATTGTTGGGATTAAAGAGTCCTGCCCTTAGTCCTCACTGAGGAAAATCTTCCACTGACTTCTATTATAATTTTGTAACCAACGAGAACTGAGGGGGCTGTCAGGATTTGTCCATTTATGTACTTTCAAGGCACTCAAAGAAACCCTGTTTAATACTTGATTTGACTGACAAATCAAATGACACAGGAGGGAAAGTTCTTCTAAAAGTATCTTCAATCATTTTGTCAAAGACTAGTGATTTATTGAGATTCACAGAAGAGGTTTAACGTGAGACAAAGTTTGGAGATCCATAACCCAGAGTCACTTTAAAGTATCATTTATGCAAATGGCAGAATTAAAAAGATCCAAGGCAAAACCAAAATTTCCCTCCTCTCACATATAAAAAAATCCTATCAAATACACTGGCCGTACCACACAAAATCCCAGAGGAACAAGACACTTTCAAGCTACTGACTCCTTTCAGATTTAGAAATTAAGAGTCATTTTATCTGGAAGCGAGCCGAGAGCAGGAATTTATCACTTGGCAGCTTCTGTAGAAGTATTGTCTTCCAAGGCAGAGGCACTTTAGCCCCTAAGACCTTAGGACTGTCTAAGCCCACCACGATTCCTGCGTTGGAGTCAAGCTAGTGTCTTAGCTGTCAAGTCAGTAGGACAAATTCTTTCTTCAGAAATGAAGGCTTTTGTTTTTTTAGTCCTTGTCCGAGTCAGAAAGGAAAAGGCTTTCCTGACTGCTCCGACAGTTCTCCTGTTGTTGATGATGTTAAGTTTTTGTTCCTCCTTTATGTGACACATTCTTGATGAAAGCAGATATTTTGTTTATCCCGCGTTGTTGGATCAAACTTCCAATCTGGGCCGTTGGTTAAACTGAGGAGAGCCTCGGCCAGTGCTAGAGCGGTGGCTCAGCCTCCTTGCAGGGCCACCGCCTCTGCTGCCCCTTGCCTTGAGTGTCCTCAGACCTCTCCTATGCAGCCCGTGCAGCGCTAGTCAAAGTCTGCTCCTGAGATCAGACTGCCCCTGTCCTTCACTGTCAACCCTCCACCCTGGGCTCAGTGCCTGCCCCAGCCTCATGCTGGGAGCAATCTTGAGGGCAGCACCCAGGCATTTGGGGATTTGACTGGGAGCCCAGGCTCTGGGCAGCTCGGATCTGCAACGTGCTAAGCATGCCACGGCCCAGCCAGCGGGTAGCCTGGATTTGCCTCTTTTTACACAGAGAGGCTGGCAGCCAGCAAGGTGAATGAAATGCATGGGAAGAGGGACCCCCCCGCCATGTCTCTTCAGCTCTGTCTTCCCCTTTCAGTGTAGAGTTTTGCGCAGATTTCTCAGCTTGGAGAGCACTTGCTGAAGGTGATTATTCTAGGGGGCATCAGCTGGTGGAGGCTGACCAGGCAAGGAGGCCTGGCGTGGAATGATTTTACTGAATGGCTTCCTATTCCTATTCATCTGTGTGTCTTTTAGATACACAGATGTAAATTAAATCACCCATAGGGGACTGTTACAAGACAAAAAAGTTAGGATTTTAAACAGAGATGGTGTTCTGGCATAGATGCATTTGCTTATTATTGCAGTAGACACTGAAGAGAAAGGAAGGCTCTTATCTTTTGTTGCTGTCTTTGTTAACATCTGGACCTCCCTGCACAACCTTCAGCCCATATTTCAGTCCTTGGCCTGGGTGGATACCCCATGACTGAGGTGACCAAGCGGTGTCATCCTGTGCTCCTTCCGCAGGAAACGGGCAACTGGGGGGCTCGAGAGGGTGAATCACCTGGGATGTGACATGCCCTAGAGGGTCCCTCTCTCATCAAGAGGGGTCCCAGACAGCACTTGTAGCTCTCTGTGACGCCTTGTTTTAACTAGCGGCCATGAGGGATAGGATACTTTTTGTACGTTATTCCCCACCCCTCTCTTTTTTTTGGCTGATAGTGCTCCAGATTGCCAATATGTTCTTAAAGATCTTCCTCCTCCTTTTTTCTTTCTTCAGCATATGCGTGTGCTGTGCACTGAAGTCACCGCCTGTAGCTTTTTGCTTTCTCACCAGTCCATGAGAGGACCTTATTAAAAAGTCTATTCAATGAGGACAGAGAAATGAGAGTTCAGGATAAACATAGCTGATGTGAAATATAGTGAGACTTTTTTTTTTTCTTTAAAGAACAGCTGTGCTCATGCTGTATTTAAGAAATAAGATTTATTATTGTACTGATAGTCTAACTGGCTTGATTACTCTGAAGTTACAGTTTTATGGAGTTCAACAAGCAGAAAACATATGATATGTATTTAATCATAGCCTATATTCAGAAATATGTTAGTCATCTTTTCTCTTGATAGGTTGACATCTTGCCCTTATCTTTAGTGTATTAGCTATCCCTTAAACCATTGGCTAGGTAACAGCCAAGCACGAAGTGTCTAACACTCTCCAGCTGATCTCTACATACTAAATTTAGAGCAGGTTAGCAGCAGACGCATAAAGCAATGAAATAGAAGCACAAGTGAAACTTCATTGACTTTGGAAACATTGGCTACATTTTAAGTTTCTGCTACTGTTAGTTATCCAGTATTATATAAGTTAGGAAAAATGAGGAACCTCTTTACAGAGATAAAAAGTTTGATTCATTTTGAAATGAGAAAATATTGCTGAACGGTTACTGTTTTTTATGTACTTTTGATGACAGGCGTAATGGTCTTAGAAAGCCTTGGTTCGGTCGATAGAGTGTCGATATAAATTTCATGGCATCTTACAAAAGACTATTACTGCCTTCAGAAAAAACAAATGTCCTCTTTCAAACTGTTGTGATTTTAGAAGACACAGGCTAACAGCATTCACTATTTTGATATACTTTATTATAAAACATCACGTTTTAAAATATTTTTTCTGGACTAAAGACACAGAACTCTCCTCATAAAGAAAATTGTTCCTTTTCTGGCTTTGCAGGTGCAACCCCTTGTCTGAAAGCCGGCAAAGCTGAGATAGTTCTAATGATTTCAGCCCGAAAGAGATATTAAGGCAACTCTATGCCAGCCCAAAGTTCTGAACACAAACATGTTAGAAATGCCCCTAGAACTATTCTTATTTTTTACAGAAGAGTTTTGCACAGGTTTATTTCCATGGGGTGTCTTATTCCCTGGAGTACAGTGGGCAGATAATCTATTTTACTTTTTTAAATTATGCTGGACATGCAGAATTTCAATCTTGAAGCTTTAATCAATGTTATAAACTTGTAGAAAACATAAAGAGAGCTACCCCACACTGAAGAAATCAAATCTCCTTAGTTTGCGCAATGGTCACAAGATTACGCTCATCAAGAAGACAAACTAATATACATATATATCATTCACATAAGCAGCATTTAGGAACCTGACAGTTTCTCATTACTTCCACGGCACTCAGGCTTATTTTGAAGAAATCTAGCAGCTCTGCAGTTTTGCTCCTTTCCGAACTGCATTCACTAGTCCATTGTCACCTACCTGTGATGACGGCCTCTGCTGTAGCCATGTGCATGAGGGTGTTGTCACTTACTGGCCATTTGTCTGAAGAGAGCACCAGGTTCTCGAGCCCTCCGATTTCTTTCAGCTCCTGCTGGATTTTTGCACCTAAAGCGTTGTTTTCTCGGGAGAAATTTCGATAACCAAGAGCATCCCCTACCCCGGCCAGTACAAGTGCAGCCTTAAATTTATCCATTCCCAAGATACTTTTCACTTTCCTTTCGTGTGAAACAGCCACTGAATCTTGATCTTTCTTTGTTCCTTTGCCTTCAGCTCAGCTCCACTGACACTTTATATCAGCCATTGTGTCACCACAGAGAGCTCGCTCTATAAGGCAAGAACTTCCTTTTCTGGCTTTGCAGATGCCATCTCTTGCCTAAGACCCAATGGAGAGGAAATATTTCACAAGCCAGAGATTTTGCAGGGATTTTGTTCAATGAAACTGCAAGAGCATACCCACAAAGTGAAGCGCAAAAACATCACTTCTGCAGCCCAGCATAAAGCAAGCCAGGAAATATTTAGCCCTAGCCAGCATAAGTAACTCTACACCCAGAAAAACAGATGCCTCCACAAGGGTGTTTGTTTATTCAATAACTTGTAAATTAATATATGTTCCTTCACTTTTCTGATACGGTAGCGTCAGCCTCCCTTTTGGGGACTGATCAAGAAACTGAAAACAGTTGAATGGGATGAAAGGCATTTCCAAACTCAGGAAATACTAGAATGATGGCAAGAACATAGTAAAATGTAGCAAACCTCTCACATTTCTAACTAAGCCCAATGGCAATAATTTATCTGGAGGCTCAGATGGGTTTTTTAACTCACTTTGGGACAGTGACCCAGAAAACTATCTGATTCCAAGATGACACAACTTTCTTGCTCTGTTCCACCTATAACAAGAATATTTCGCTAATTCACTGCACCCCTGGATAAACACTGAGCAAAATACCAACTTAAATCTCGCATCTCCTTGCTCTCTGGCAAACAATGACTTTTTCCTAAGCCAGAGCTCCGGAGTAGTCTACGCTTGAAGTCTGAAAGGAAACTATTTTGAAAGATGTATTTAAATGGCATCCTGTGAGTCTAGGAAAGTTCACATACAAAGAAGTCTCAGTTAGTGAGAACGGAGAGTTTTATTAATACCATGCTTTCAAATTTGATACTTTGGAGATTATCTGCCTTACTGTGTCATTTTTGTGACAGTTTTTTCTGTCCTCTGTCATTCAATGCAAGAAGGACTTCTGTAGTCTTGCAGCCTTCGAAACATGTTTTGCCCATAAACATGTCACAGTGTGGGCTCATTGTCTTCCTCCAGGGGGATCTACTGAGACTGACCCAAACTGTGGTTCCAAGGCACCATTCATGCTGTCCTAAAGAATCACAGATTATGATTTTACAGGTAGAAGTACAAGTGTAAATATACATTTATCTAGATAAACAGAAAGCTTTGAATGGCTTGACTGACATTTTGATAAAGGATAGCTGGAGAAAGGTTTTGTTTTTCTTTGACCTTTGTCAGAAAGAAATACTGGTTGCTATTTAGGTGGAAAAGACTAAAAGTGTAAAGGATGCATCTTACTAGCATCACCCAAAAGGATATGCAGTTAATTGCATAACTGAATAATTAATGCATATAAGAACACCACTATGCTTTACAAAAAGAACACACAAATGGAAGAGAAGCGTCACCATCCTTATTCTACAATACAGGAAATAAGATGCAAATACCTTAAAATGAGTGCTCAGAAGGGACAACTAAGGCCAACGTGGCTTACCAAAACCACATCAGGCAAACGCATGGTATCTTCCAGTTTGATGTCTCAGTTACAGGTCAATGTATCCTTCTATGGCTCCCCTTGACTGCACAGAATATTGTGATTTGGAAGGCAATGGGAATTCAAACGTGCAAACCCAGGACTAGAGAAATCACCTACTGAAGCGCCGCAGAGAGCTAGTAAGTGCCTTATCAGATGAAACGTTCCTTTCTGAAAATGGGCAAAGCTATTCTTAGTTTTCGCATTTATCTCTTCCTCTAAACTGTGGCTGGCAACTGTACTGCCTTGTTCTCTCCCGTGGACTCTGCCCTGTTGCATGCACACTTGACCACCCATAACACAGCGCAGACGAGGAATAAAATCTTTAGCTGTTAGAAATAAGGCTATAATGAAAATCCAGCCTTTGTAATTCAGAGAAGCTTTATTTCTCCAGGTCTACAAAGCAGAAGGTGCAGCAAATAATTTAGTTTTTTTTAAAATTTGTAAATTGCATATAATCTCTTGTTCATGTAGTATTTCCAGTCGCTATGAACTTTTTGGGCATAAGTTAGGCGCACAGATAGCTATGCTCAAAGAAAATAAAGATGAGATAAAAATGTGTAAAAGATCATACTTGCCTATCTGAAACATAGCTGAAACATATAAGCTCCATTATGATGAAGAAGTATTCATTTGTTATATATATTGTTGATAGGAAAAAAACCCCAAACAAGTAAAGTTTGCAAAAAAGGTTTGGTAAATGTTAAACTAGATTAAAATGTAGCTTTGGTCTCCTATCGTTACTGTCCACATGACTGGTTTCAGGCAGGGAAAACACAGAAGAAAATGAATGAGGACCAGGCCAGGGGAAAGGCGATTTCTTGTTGGTAGCAGCAAGCCGTTATTTCAGCTCAATCATGTTTGAAACCATACCTGAAAACACTGAAGCATGCATTCAGCCTATGGGAAACTTGGCTTCACAGACCTCCTCTACCTGAGGGGATGTGAAACAATTTTCCCCTAGTCCTTTCTCATAAAGAGGTGAACGTTGTACCCCACTTGTCTGAAACTTGGAATTTGTGCTCGTAGTTGAAAATGTAGCTGCAGCTGCAGATATTTCTACTCGTTTATAAAAAAGCTTAGTTTTTGAGGTGTCATCCTAACAATTCCACCTTGCACACTGACACAAAGGTCAGAGAACACGACTGATTTCTTGAAAATTAAAAAAAATAAATAAAAGACCTCACGGTTGTAAAATGTTAGTCTTTTTCCCTTTTAGAAGACTTGTTTCCTTTGATGTGCCAGAAACCGGGTTGGTGACAGTTAAGGAAAGCAACTGGTGCTGTTGGCTGAAAGGAAAGTGCTTCCTGTGGCTTGAGTATCAGCATCAGCCCTTTCTGCTTTACAGGAGAAGGCAGACTCATGTGATACCAAAGTGTCCAGTGGTTGGTAAAATAAGTTTCAAGGCATCTTGACAGAGACAAATAGTTTCACTGCTGTGTGTGCTCATGCTCTGGGATACTCAGGTGCTTTTGCGCTCATTAGGGAAGGCAACCACTTGGAACAACCAGACTGGCTCTACCAAATAGTATTACAGAGGCTGGAGATAGACAGGTGGGAGAGCAGAGAGGACAACTGTTTTTATTTTGATTCAAACTTTCAGAAAAAGAGAAGTAAGGGCAGGTGTGTACATACCTTTGAAAGTCTTTGCACAGACATCTGAATGCGCTGCTTCTTTTACAGAGCTTAGAGCCCAGGACTGAGCACGACTTTCCCTGCAGCTACACTTCTACTTGGCGGTAAAAACTAACGACGCAAATAGCAGAGAGTTAGCTTGACTGCTAGCAGGTACCTGTAATAGATCCAGCATTGCACTTAAACACAGCAAGCTTTTTAAGAACGTAAAGATGGCATGGATGAGCAAAACAGATAGACATGTATTTTAAGTATAACTGCCAAAAAATTCATGTGTTACATCCTTGCCGTCTTCTGATTGATGGGATAAAGCAAGAATCTAATACGTTAACTGGAAAATAAAAACCACACCAGCCTTTGCAAGGGCTTCCAAAGCAGAAAGCTGACAAAAAGCACAGACATCCCACATGACTGACTTCAATCCTTCATGTTGAAAGTTCATTTATTCCTTTTTCAATTGCCACAAAGTTTACATGTGTACAGCTTACTCAGCAGCAAATCTCTCAGGTGCATTGCGTGAGCGGACACCTACAGGTTTGCTCTCCTTGACATGACATACATGATAAATTACATTTAAATTTAGAACTAGCAAATACAAACCCCATGACTCAGTTTGAAATTCTCTAAGAAGCAAAACCAAACAACTTGGCACCAACTTTAAAAAATATATACAGCCTATCTAGGAATTAATACTTGTATGTATTGAAAAAACTTAATCAACGATTTCTGTACCATTTATGGTTATAAATTGATCAGCCCAGGTGTTATCACTATACCAGCTTACCTAAAAGCAAAATTAGAGTCCCCTGTAAGGTGGAAGAGTGGACAGGCGCATGTATTAAAACAGATATGGAAGTCGCCATTTGAAAGCAGGTTATTTGCATTTACCTGTAGAATTGCTCAAGCTTGGGGATGTCATTCTGCACTGTTGTTTATGGGAATGTAACATGCATAGGCGGTTTTAAAGGGATAGAAGACTGGGAATAGCATGGCTGACAGGGGGCAACTTGCGTCTTAGGAAAATATTTTGGCCAGTCTTCCTCTATCAGAAGGGTGCCTTCCATGAAGGATCCTCACAGGAACTAGGCTTAAGAGTAACTGAATAAACGTGTGCATATAGAAAGTGAAAACTATGAGTACTGAGCACCTTCTTCCTCATATTAACATGGGCAAAGTGAAAAACCTAAACACACATGCAAGACCCAGTTGCCCCACAACCCTGGTACCCTCAGGATGTTCTTCCTCAGTTAAAAGAAAAAAAGCAAGAAAAAAAAGAAAAGAAAGCATGTTTTATGTTCTATTTGTTTTAAAAGGTAAAAGGGTCATTATGAGCTTAATATGAGGGACTTCTCAGTATGAACAAATGCTTCACAAACTCTAATGCTATGCAAACTATTCAGCTACATTACTGACCAATATATTCAGCTACCTCTGCTCAGTTATATTATGCCTATACATTTTAAGTCACTATTGTCTGAATAACAAGCATTCCATTGCTTTGGCTGGATAAGCGCAGCTGATGTTTTTTGGTGTTACACATTTATTCTCCCAAGCCTACAGGAGAGATATGAAAAGTTCTTGTTTTGGCTGGGGAAGAATAGGTAAATGGAATGCATTAAAAACAGAACTCTCTCTATATATATATTTCTTTTTTTTTTTTTTTTTAAATCTCAGCTGACCTCTGCAGAATACCTGGACTTACATATATGAATGTCTTTTTAGAAAGATGTAGTTAAATAATAATTTTTGTTAATATTACATACTAACAGTCTACACAGAAAAGAGACAGGCACCTAAAGACCGAGACACTGACATCTAGCGGCTATCATGCAAGACATAACATTTATAAATACTCCTTTGGGGGTTAAAAAAAAAAAAAAGACTAATAATAAATCACTCATAGGTTATTTGTAACTTGCTTTCTATGTTACTATTCACAGAAAGTTTACTAATTTGTTCAAATACAGGCCCTGTCCTCACCCTACTTTTTAAGCATCATGCACAACTGAAATTCTTCCAAGTGGCAGAAAGAATGAAGGCAGTATTTCTGTACTCAGCATGTTCATTTGGTCTTGTAGGCTGCATTGACATAAATAAAAGCTGACTGCTTATATGAAACTCTAAATATTAGAGTTTAGAAGAATATAAGCTTTTATATGTTCATAATTATGAAATAAAATAGTATGCTGTCACGAAATACTTAAACTATCTGATATGGGATCAAAATAGATATAAATTATATAATTTAATGCACTATCATCTCCCAAGTTCTTTCATCAATTCATCTCTATTACAGAAAATATACTGATCATAGCTATACATACTCATTAACAACTCTTTGCTTTAATAAACTTTTATAGTGGCTATGACAAACTCATTTTGATGAGGTAGTGTTTAAAAGAGCCCCGTGTGAAAATATATCCAGTAGTTTCTGGTAAAACGCTTTTGTGCTTAGGCATTGGAAGACAGTGTTGCGAAAGAAGAGACTGAATAGATAGCTGGTAGAAGAGGAGAAAGAAGTGACTGAACAAATTCAGATTTGGTGTAAACTGATCCACTTGCCTTGTGATCAATGATAGTGCATTTATTTACTTTTTTTTTTTTTTTTAAATAAGTGTTACTGAATAACTATTACAAAAACATCCTGAGGCTAACATCAGTACTGTAAAGTCTCCTCACCTGCAACTATTTCTCCAAAGCAGGAGCTAACTCCAAGTCTTTGGGCTTATTCATGTTTATTTTGTGGAACATGTCAGGAATTGCATTCATAACTTGTTGCATTTAGCTAGAATTTATGATATGTTTCAGGCTACTAATAAACGTAATAAATCACACCAATTCGTAATTTAAAATAAAGTAAACAAAACATAATTGCAGACTAACTAAATTATGACAATCAAGCATGAATTATAAAAGCATCTTTGGTTGTTTAAGGTCTACTTTAAAACGGTTAATAAAAAAACAGTTGATTTGCAATATAGCGTAGAGCAGTAGTCCTTCCTCAGCAATGCTACTGTAACACGTCTCAGACCTTCAAGAATATAGTAATGAGGAAGTTACTCTTATTGGGGAAAAAAAGGCTAGATGTGATCAGTCTGTACATCCAAGAGCTTAAAAATATAAATTTAAAATCTCAGCAACAAGTAAAAAAAGTGCATCTTGTTACAGTTCTGTATTAGGGCTAACTACAGAGCTAACTTTTATAAAAATACAACATACTGCATAAGTTTTATTTAGGGATTTAATTTATATACCACAAATACTGCTTTTCATTTAAGTACAATATAATACAGTTTTATTCATGTAACTGCTGGTGTTCACTTTGGATCATGAACTGAATGGCATGCTGTGCTGTCAAAACTTTAATAAAATGGCCTCTAGTTAAACTTCTCCAAAGTATAAAATCATGCAAAATCTACATCCTATATATGATACAACCAGTACAATAATTGAAGCCAATAGCCTACAAACAGCCTGGACTATCTTCTGAGTTTGTTCTTGATGTGTCCACAAGTCAGCCATCATTTTCTTTAGACAGAAAGGAGGAATTTCAGTTTTGTCTATGGAAACTCATCATGTCCGCAGAAACCAGCAACAGTGTGCACAGTTATTGGCCAACAAATCTTCGTTACCTAATGCAGTTCAGACTGCACATTTAGTCCATCTTGATGAGTCAGAGGTTAGGAAGTTTTACGCTTTCCTCCTGTGACTACTGGTCGTGCATATTCCACAAAATCATCTATAAGAACAGGCCACGCTCCTAAAGAAAAGTCAAGCAATTTAGAAAAGAATGTGTCATTATTAGCATTAAGTTGGTTTAGTCTTAAAATACAAAGGATCAGAAGCTTACTTCAGTATTTTTGGCCTAGCCCGACTCTTAACATGCATGACACGGACACTTGAAAAAGCACTAAACCAAATGTTTAATGAATTAAACATCTGAATTTCCTCTTGCAGCAATAGTTCTCAGTACAAATGAAATATATTTAAAGCATAATCCACACTAAAATTAGCTGAACGCAAAATCATTAATGGCTATTAAAGCCATTCACAACTTAGGAAACATTTCTGCACATAGTCATTCCAAAGCAGGATTTGCAGGATTAGTGACAGCGTGTAAGTCGCATTCAGGTTAGTAACAAATATGCTTTTGTAGACATTCTTGCAAGTAAAAAAAAAAAAAAAGATAGACAGCCTTGCTGTTAGCAACATTTCTGAAAAGAAATACAGTTTCATTGTGACTTCTGCAGCACAACAGGTTCAAACAGCATGTGCTATAAAATGGTCTGACTGTATCTTTAGTTTTATTTAGATATTAAAGAAAACTTGTTAACCTACTTATCATTAACTTTTTGGCAATAAGTATGATACTCTATTTGCAGCTACATCTTAAGGAGTAAACAAATTAAGACATAAGGTAACAGTATGTTCAGTTGTTCATTTAGAGCAAAATTTTAATTTTGCTATACTGACGCTTGAAAAGTTATTCAAGTACTTGTTACCTTCTTCATCATAGTTGGACATATCATCTGCAATCATATTTCCAAAGTCTAACAGAAGATTCCAAGTATCTTTTGGTATTGATCTTTTATGATGTTCCTATAAAGGAGGAAAAATGATACTGTTAAAAGTATGAAATATTTTCAAGTTTCACTGTAGTATTTTATACTGGTGGGTTTTTTGTTTGGTTTTTTTACACTGAACTTGAGAGCTTCTGAAGAAAACTACAAAAATAAATGGCTACTAAAAAAGGAAAAGCCTAAGAAGCCTTTGCTAGTTGTTTCATTTCTTCTGCTTTGCTTTTAGGAGGTGTGTTCCTAATTTGTTATGGTAAAAAATTAAAACAAATGCACTTTATACTTCTGCTTAATGGATCTTGGCTTCCAGTCAAGATTCTGAAACTGTGCAGCCACTAGCTGGCTATCTGCCATTTCAACTTGAGCCTTTCTTTCCCTGTCCCTTTTCACCTGCACTAATCCAGACTCTCCCTCAAGCCCTTGGTTATAGTTGCACCCTTCTCCTACGTTCCTCTTCTCACTCACTCCCAGACTGCCTTTTGGACCCATCATCTCAGCCTCTCTGATCAACTATTCTCTCCTCTGCCATAGTGCAATACCTCTATTTGCTCCACTCCTCTCCAGCCTCTCCTTTCCAGTCAGTCCTATTCTCCATTATCACATCCTGGTCTGACTTCAGGTATATTCCTTCTGCATCATCCTGTTCAACGTTAGTTTCCAGTTTGAGCAGCACAATAGAAAGCTTTACACTTTCTCTGAGCTTTCAGAGTCATTCCCTCCCTCCTTTCAGCCCTGCTCATAGCTGCTAGTTCTTGCTCTTCTCCTCTGCGCTGGCACTAACTTGGTCAGCTGGGGCAGGCTGTAAGCACCCCCCTCTTCTCTTTCCATCCACACCACACCCAGCCACATGGTCGCAAAGGACCCCCTGAGCCAGCTGTGGCATTCGTCTGACCCCTTGGGAAGTCAACCAATTAGCCCAGAGGAAAATAAAATACTCAGTTTTTGCTCCATTTGTTTTCAATTTCCAATTTTTTTTCCATTTAGAAAACAGAATCAGTTCAGGGAACAAGGTAAATTTCTTTTGGCAAGAATACTCTAATATACTGAAGAGAATAAACTGCATTTCTAAAAAATGCAGAACTTCTTCAAAACCAGTTTGATGTCCAACACGGCAGAAAACATGCATCTCTGACACTGCATGGCTTGCCATCTTGACTGCAAAATATGACAGGCAAATATATCTTTTGAAAAAAAAAAAAAATCCCCCCAACACCCCTAAAAATTCCTAGCTTCTTGCTTTCTTAGGTTGAATTTTTTCATCTGAATGTTTCCTCTGAAATTCTGAATTATTCTGAAATATCCTACATGTCTTATTTTGCTGCGAATATTTAACCTGAGAATTTACACGTGTTACACCAGACCCTCTATAATAGGGCTTGAATTAAAGACTTGCACAATTGTCTGTCATCTTATTTAGCCAAATGGGAAAAAAAAAAAAAAAAGTGTTAGGACTCTTCAGGTATACCTACTACATACCTGTATTTAGATGTCTTAAGCATACTAAGGCAGTTAAAAAGTGAAATCTTTTCACAAGTTCTCTTGGTGAAACTGGCACATATAGTCAGCGAATAAAATAAACACGCTATCCAAAAAATCTCACTGATTTAGAAAAGAACTTACAAGAAAATATGATAAAAAAAGTACATACTTTGCCTATTATGCATTCGCGCTTATGGGACAAAACGTGGAAAGACTTTTTCTCCTAAACTATGGAGAAAAAGAATTAAAAGACTGTACATTGTATAATATTATATAAGTTTTTGCAAACACACAGAAATGCAAATGAAGAAACATGGATGAATTAATCAGGTCTTTAATGAGAATATTTTATGATTTCTAAAGTTTAACTTATGCACCTTTATTCCACTGCCTACAGAATTGTACTGATAACAGAAAACCATCAAGATCAGTTCCAAACTATTATTTAAAAAAATGAGTCAAAATAATTACTCAGACAATAACGTTCACTTATAAAGAAAAGTCTCTCAGTGTTAAGTAAACGTCAATTCTGTTATGACTGAGAGAACACTAAGTTTATGCATTAATACTACAAAAAGTAGAGCATGGCAAAATTCATGGCTGACAAGAACCATAGCTGTCTGAGAATAACGACAACGTAGGCTCAATTTACAATTATGGCTTCACTTCAGGCAGAAGCTTTCGTGAGGAGGAAGAAACAGGATCAAGCAAGTAGAATGCTCTATTGCCTTGATGCATCTTTTTGCTTTCTTCTCAATTAGGTAATTATACAGAGAGGATTTAATCTGGCTTGATTTGAGAATATCTGGTATCAGTTTTCAGAAAGGAAGATATTCAAAGGAAGTATTCAAACATCCTGTGTTTTTCTTTATTGTAAGCACACAGCTATACAAGCTCTAGACTACCGTGGACTAAGATAATGAGGACAGAATACAGTATGTACTTACCAGCAAAAATTTATTCCAAAGATCTAGAAATTTAAACCTTCCCGATAAGACTAAATTCCAATATGCAATTGCCATTTCTAGATCTGCAAAAAACAAAGTAACACATAAATAGTACAGTATATGCAATAAAACTGTTGCGGTTAAACAGTTAATAATGCTGTATCTAGTATGTTGTGATACAGATGAAGTATATGATTTTTAAATCATTACGAGTAACTGCTATTCTGCACTCACTGATCCAAAAAGGAGGAAAACAAGTAGCAATGGTAAAAACTGCATATAGAACATTACAGTTATAATGATCAAAATCTGTTTGTCAGCATCCAGCAGTGCTGGATTAAAGTTTCTTTTAACCCATAGAAAAAGAACACAGTAGTTATCGATAACTCTGGCTGAAGGAAACAAACAAACAAGACAGACACATATATGGAAAATACCAATAGAAAATCTAAACATTTAAGTCCGGGATGCTGATACCTGTTAAACTATAACATTTTATATATGGACTTGACTTTAAAGGGATTTTAAGGAAAGGGAAGGGGGGAAAGATTTGCCTAGAACACGATAATTCTACAGCACCCTTTACAGCAATATAATTTTCTTTTCCAGAATCATTTAACAGAAGAACACTTATATCCAAAACTGAAAATCTAAGTCCAAGAAAGGAGAGCTTATTCTACAACACCACCAGTGGTAAGAGCAGAGTTCAGCTTGCGCATGCCAAGAGTAGGATGCAGTAATGGCACATGCTCAGACAGAAGAGTAGGGACAATATGAGGTGCAGCACAAGGGCAGAAATGCTTTTATTGAAGGCCTGTTTTCATTCTCAGCAACTCACAACGCCTAAGTGCTTCCGCCCCTGGTCCCACATTTAGCAGTGCGAAATATATGCATGCTGCTGCTGCGCAACCACAAAATAAAGGTACAGCTTTTCTTAAATCACAAATGGATTTCATTGTTTGCTTTCCATGTAAAATAGCTATAAACAAAATGTGAAACCTTAGTAGAAAGTATTGTCATAGTATATTAAAGAGAAGCCTGACTGCCACCTAAAGGAAAGGAGCGTGACATTTGGAATTCTACGTGTCACATTACAAATCAAAAGTCCGTGTTCTACCCAAAATCAAGTTGCAGGTCTGAAAGAGAAGTTTCAGATTTCAACATAGGCAATTCCCTAGAGTCTGTTTAATACAGGGTTGGGGCCCAGACAACGAAAAAGTGCAATAATTAAGATCATGAAAGAAATGCAGTACACATATACTCAGCTATATGGAGATAGCACTACAGGTTATTTTCTCTACTGTGATCAGAGTGCCCTGAAGCACAGAATTTATTTCGTGCCCTAATAAACTTTTTTCAGCTCTTCCTGGCTTTCCCAGCTATTCATGTTTGTTTCGCACAGAAATGAAATAGAAATGATAGAACAAGCTAGTTAACAGCATTTATTTGCTGCTTAGATATACAGATTAGTAATTCATAGCAGTTATCTCAAATGAAAAGCAAAAGAAATGAGAAGGGAGAAAGTCAAACAATCTTAAGGGTTTCTAAACTTCATTGTGAGGTGAAGAGTTTTGGTCTCATTCATTCAGGCTTCATTATGAAAGTCAACCTTTCCAAGCCAACTCTGTGAATCTATCATATGACAACTTTAAGTCAAACGCACTTTGAAGAAAAAATAGTTTTGTGACATAAGAATTTTTACACTTTAGATGAAATAATCCCTATTCCCTGGGAAAAAGAAGGTGGTACAGGCAAAGAAGCAAAGATGGATGAAGGTGCCACAAAAAAAGTTAAAAGGGAAAGAAAAGGCAACACTTCCTTAATTCATTTGGGTATCAAATTTAATATTATGTTATACTGAAAGACTATTGCAAAATTGTTTTTAGCACAATAAAAATGAAGCACTATTTTAACTGATATCTCTAGGATACATTTCACGTGTGTGCAAACTCATTCTCCTGCACAAAGACACAGGAGCTGTTTGCTCTAATATACAATTAGCATATCCTTCTCAGGGTATGGGCCCGTAACAGTTGAAACCAAGCTAAGCTGGAGCCTAATCACATCCTCCCTGACACCAGCTCTGGTGTACACCCCATTCTGAGGTGAGATACTTCAGGGTGCTACATTAGTTGCCAACTTTTCATAATCAGAAGCAAAACATTCTGCATGCAGTATGATCTACTCTAAAACATTAAAACCTCATTCTAAAATTACATTCAAACAAACAAACAAAACTTAGCCTCCTTCTTTAGCAAAATCAGTGCAGGAGACACACGTTATCGGTTAGACAGCCTGTGTCTACCTTTAAGGTTTGACAAAACGCTCATTTTTGTTAGTGAACGTTTTCACTGTTTTCAATCGTTAATGGATTAGACTCTTGCATAGAGAGAGGAAAAAAAAACCACACACACACGAAAAACAATTGCAGTTCCTTGCCCTTTTGCTATGGTTTCGGACAATGGGAACAAAGTCACTACATACAAGCAAGTATGTGAGAAAGTGAGAAAACAAAGATAAATCAACAGGTGATTGCATAAGTTCACTTAAATTACTGACAGAAATTAAAAGAAAAAAGGCCAAAAACATTACACTGGTGTCCTAACAGTGTTTTAAAATCTTTACGTTATTTAGAAGAATATCTGAATATTAGCCACAGCTGCCCTTCTAAACCCTAGTTAGCATGCTGACTAGGTTCTGTACCTTATGACAGTATAGTCTAACATGTTTTAGAGCTTGGAAACAATTTTTTTTTTTTTTTTTTTTTGCAATTTCATCTTTTGAGGTTTACTGATTATCCCAGTATTGCCTTTTTTTCCCCCTTTATTAATGTTTAATCCTACCAACACTGTAATGCTTTGCTACTTCATAGAAGTCATCTCTACAAAGGAACTTTGGGCAGCTTCTTAAGCTTCATTACTCTTTGAATAAAACTCATTGCTGAGCACTATCTCAGACAACATGGGCAGAATTTTTTTTTTTTTTTAAACAGTAAGTATCATGCAGTGTTACCTGGTCCATCTACAGACACAAAACAAAACATTATAAAGAACGCAATACAAAGCTTGCAGAAGGAAGCAATATTTCAGTTTTGAGTTCCTTCACTTGAGGCTTTCTCTCATCACTGCTTTAGCCCAAACTTACTCTACGTTCTTGAAAAGAAGAAAGTAACCAACTAGCTCTTCTTTTCCTAAAACATCATTAAAAAATTCATCTGGACAGGTGCAAAACTCAGGAATGAAGGTTATCATTCAATTGCCTCGTGAGAGTCTTTACCCTATGTAAGACACTGAACTTCAAATGTTTTCTTTATGGTCATGTAATTTGCCCTAAGTTATCAACAGATCTTTGATTTCTTTCGTTTCCTTGCCGTGATCACAGGCGAAATCATACTTTATAAAGCTAAAACAAAAACTACTCTGCAGAAATACTTATTTTTTCTTCCATAAAATTATTGGCCACCATGCAGAAACTGGTACAGGTGTGGAAACAGGGGAAACTGGCGTGAACATATCTAAAGAACTGGACTATCACACTACCTGACCAAAGGACAAATGAATACTTGCAAGATTCAATGAGTTACTTGATTCCTTGTGTCCTCGTCTCTCTGATTTTAAGTCTTCTTTGGCCTCCACATTACTAAGAACATGGACACAAAAATTAGTTCCTTTCCAAGTCAGAACATTTTTTTTTCTAGATAGATATAAATACAATTCACGTAGTAAACCAGCAAGCAAATACCATCAGGGTTCAACCTGAAAACCCTTCACCAAATTGCTAAAAAGTTTGTAGCTAAACAGCCTTTATCTGCAGTCCCCCAAAGGGGTAGCTTAGGGGGAGGGTGAGATAAGGGGCATGATGCAAACACTGAAAGTGGTTCAATCCAGATTCCAGTTGAGTTGGACCCATTCGTCCCTGCAAAGCCATAAGCAAAGAGTTCCCCAGTGCTCTAGGTAAGTGGACCCTTGCTACACAGTGTCAGAGCCAAGTCCCTGTGGAACCGAAAGCACAGGGAAGTGTGCTGAGACACAGTATGCAGATTTCGGAAGAGCTCTGCAGGTATTTGATTGTGCTTGTTAACTCTAGCTCAGCATCAGCTATGCTGAAGCAGTCTGATTCCATGCAGAACCTTTTATGCTTGTTATCTTGAGCATCAACTGGACAAAAGCAGATAAGCTGCCTCTGAATGTGAGTAGGCTTAGAAAAAGATAGCTATCTAAGTGTGATTTGAGTGTAAGGTAATGAATCCTGTTGTAGTCAGTTCAAAAAAAAAAAAAAAATCACTCTATGATTCAGCTAAGCTACAGTTCAGATAAACTGCAACAGATGGCTGAAAAGTTGACTGTTTACACATTTCCCAAATAAAAGGCACACATGAGTCAAAGAATCAATAAGGCATTGCTAGAACTGGTAGTTATGCCACACCCTTGCCGCTACTACGGGCCTTTTTTCACCACTGTATCCTATCCTATACTAAGCTTTTCCAGACTGCTGGCCTTTTCAGAACAAAAGAAACAAGGCAGTAAAAAATGAAGCAAGGACCATAAGCACAGACCAAGACTACTGAAACACTATTCAAAAACAGTAGCCTCAGATCTCTTTCAGGAGTAATCATGAAATTCATTTATTGAACTTAGCTCTCCCTCAATCTCTTCATCCACTCACTCCTACAAATACCCTACAAATAGATTAATCTAATTATTCACAAAAAAACAAAGGAAATCTTGGTCACTCGTTAGAAGAAAAAAAGAAAAGAATATCTCTCTCCCTACTCTCTGCCTCTTCAAAGAATCTGAAGCTTGAGTTCTTACTACAATGAAAGCGAAAGTTGATGTTGCTTCAATTAAAAAGAGCATGTTATACTCATCTGCTCATAGAAGATGCAACTTTCTTGAAGTCCACACACAGGATGCAAAGATAGTCATTCTCCTGGTCTTGAGGTAATATTTGATTCAATTCTGAATGCCCTCCTCATGTACCATTTCTTGCTTGATTCCAGGAAACTGGCAGAGAGAAGGAAGCACAACCTTTTGAGCCAGTAAGCAGGCAAAGGGACCATAAAGGAGTGAGGAAGAACCAATTC